TGTTTTGTTTCTGTTTGAGATCTTACTTACATAACCTGCTTATTGCCCTAACAATAAACTATAACCCTATATTTATGTAATTGTATAATTCTGTCACATAATTTTTAATGGCTTCATAGTAATCAATTATAATTCCATTAATGTTGTCAGTAATTTGAATGTTTCCAAATTTTGCTTTAACAGTAACCTGCCAAAATGGTCTTTTAGTTAAATTTAGTTAGCTAAAATAGTTAAATTTACATATCGATGATTATTTTTTCAGACAAATGTACAGAAATCAAATTGGCATATACTTTTTATATTTGTTAACCATGCTATCAGTGGTATATGATTAATTTTCTTTGGTGCTTAGATCTATAGAAGAGATATAGCTTTGCTCAGAATACTAGAATAAATGAGCCTCCTTTTCATTTTTGCCATTCTTTTGTTTTCCTATTCCTCAATTAATGGTCCATTCATTTAAGCATTTATTGACCATAAAATAAAATATATGCCATTATTGAGCATCTGCTATGTGGTAGGAACTGTTCTAGGTGCTTTGCATACTGTTAATTCATAAATCATTTAATCATCTGCAAATACAAAAGATACATTGTTATTTCCATTTGACAGATAAGTTGTACACTTAGAAATAAAACATCTTACCCATAAGAACTAAAGATCTGGAATTTGAACCGTTGTCTGTCTGATTCCCATCTCAGAATTCTGTCTACCATGCTCCATTTCTAAACATACATTGGACTTTGGGGGGGGGGGGGCAATCAAGAGTTTAATCTTAAGATATGCCAATTTTTACAAATGAAGGAGGGACATCAAGCAAGCAATTAAATTTAGAGATCAAGTAGAGGTGGAGGAGCCAGCAAAGGAAACTGAGAAAGCAGCTTTGCCAAAGAAGGGGGAGTATGAGAGTGAGTGACACGTAAGATGGAAAGGGTCCTTCGAGCTTACATAGCACCACTAGAGTACAGGTGAATGTTTCACAGCAGGCGTGGGAGAAGAGGTAGCAGTGAGGGAATGTCCATGTCTTAGCTTTTCCTCATTTCTGTGGTGTCAATATTTACAGTGGCTGAACTCAGACTGTCAATAGTTTAACAATCAGTTTCCAGATTTTCTGAAAATTTAGTGTTAGTTCTTCTACAACATTCATGTTGGCTCCAGCACACCACTGATTGAAGACCTTGGCAAAAATAGTGAAGTGGTAGAGGGGCGCCTGGGTGGCTTAGTCGGTTAAGCGTCTGACTTTTGCTTGGGTCATGATCTCGCGTTCGTGGTTTCGAGCCCCACGTCGGGCTCTGTGCTGACTGCCAGCTCAGATCCTGGAGCCTGTTTCAGAGTCTGTGATTCCCTCTCTCTCTGACCCTCCCCTGCTCACGCTGTCTCTCTCTCTCCTAGAAATAAATAAAAACATTAAAAAAATTAAAAAAAAAATAGTGAAGTGGTAGAGTAGGAAGATAAGCTGTTGGATATCCAGCAAGTAAATATTATATGGGCATGAACATGATTATTTTGAAGAGAATGGTAAGAAAAAACATATTTAATATAGGATCAAGCAGTTAAACTAAATGCTTGAGATGATGGGTGATTTCTCTTCCTGCCTATCACATAATATTTTTAAAAGTTTATATTTTATTTTTACAGTATTTGGAAAACGTAATCATTTAATAAGTACCTGTATTTATATGTACTACAAGGTATAAAACGTAGTCCTTGGTCTTGTATTCTGTAATCTATATCGGAACTTATACAGAATAAATTTGTAGAGAACAGTATTTTTTTTATCGAGGAAACAAAAAGTACGCAAATTTTGGGCTGATGGACTAATTTTCAGAGCTAAAAAGTTTTGTGATTATTATAGAATATACACAACATCTAAAGATATTTTCCACAAAAAGCCCTTATTTGTATCATTGAGTAAATTAGTTGAGAATTTTGAGATAAAAAATTATGTATAAAATAGCTGAAATATAGGCCTAGCAATATTAGAAAGTGTTATGCTTCAGTTATGATATGAGTTCATGTACTAATCAGTTGAAACCATCTTTTTGTAACAAATACTTTTAATGATTTATGTTTGTTTTGTTTCACTTGTTGGAGGATTACTGTCAGTAGTTTCAGCCATTTTACCTGAATCATTTTCTGTATCAGTAGGTAACCTGTTGTAGTGGGGTACTGTGGCTTTTTAAAAATTGTATGCTAGCTGATTGCTTTGCTTTTTCTTTATAAAAATTCTCCTATTTTCATTTCTTTTTTGCCCCTAAAAATAAAGTACTTTTAAATGTCACTAGCATATTTTGGCTTCAAATTGTAAGAGGTCTCATTTTTGTTTTGCTGTAGTTTTCTGTGAAATTTGCAAGATATGTGTTACAAAGATAATGTGGAGTCTAAAATTATTATACTCCCAATCTCGGAAAATATTAATCAGCTTGGAAGAAAAGATCACACAAGTTAAGTTTAGTTTCTTACACTTGACAGATGTTTCCTGTATGAGAGTTTTAATTGTTCTGACACATCATCCTTTGAGTTTTTACAAGTTTGATAATAAGTGACATTTTAGTTGATGTTTCCAGTGTAGTTTTCATAGTACACATTGATCTTTGAGTTAAAGCAGAAATAATATACTTTGTTATTTCTAAGTGGCTTTTGACTCACACGTTTAGCATCTCTTATATAAACTCCCAGTTATCAACCAGGAGGACATTACGTGACTCACCCAACTCCACTAATGAACAACTGAACAAAAGGCACCAATGGCAATGAGTAGTATGGGGATGATAGTAAGGCTGCAGTGCCATGTTGGATTAAAAAAATTCTTGTGTTCTGGGGCGCCTGGGTGGCTTAGTCGGTTAAGCGTCCGACTTTCGCTTAGGTCATGATCTCGCGGATCGTGGGTTCGAGCCCCGCGTCGGGCTCTGTGCTGACTGCCAGCTCAGAGCCTGGAGCCTGTTTCAGTCTGTGACTCCCTCTCTCTCTGACCCTCCCCTGCTCACGCTGTCTCTCTCTCTCTCTCTCTCCTAGAAATAAATAAAACGTTAAAAAAAAAAATTAAAAAAAAAAAATTCTTGTGTTCTTATATGTCCAGGATATGCTAGGAAGATGAAATAATCCAGTGTGAGCTTGATAAGAAACACGGAAGTATGACTGGCTGTGCTTATTTGGTATTAGAGTTAGTTGTTGTCTGTGGGGCTGAAGGAGAAGGACCTCCCACAAAAAGTGCAGTCTAAACTGAGATCTGAGGAGAAGCCAGAAGGAAGCCTCCTGGGATACATCCGGGCACTGTGCAGGCACACAGGCATGCATGATCAAAATACATTGAAAACAATCAATAGGTGTTGTCAACTGACTGGGTGCCCAGTTAAGTGTCTAACTCTTGATTTCAGCTCAGGTCATGATCTCATGAGTTCATGAGTTCAAGCCTGCTGCCTTGCGGACTCTCTTTCTCTCTCTCTCAAAACAAATAAACTTAAAAAGTCAGAACAAGACTTTTCTCATTCACCACGAAGCAAAACTCTGTTTTTGAGTATCTGTTAGTTACTGATGAAGAAAAGGCCAAACTGTGGCTAGAAAAGCTCTCTAAAGAGGACATCACAAACTTTGTGTTTAATGTGTTTAGAGGTAAAAGAAAAATTAAATTAATCCAGTGGCATATTTTACGTACGAAATTTGTGATGAAGCTATATTGCTGCAATTTGTTTATAAAGAAGAAAAAGAAGGAAATCAGCTAAGTTAAATATATGTATTTTAATGAATTGACCTGTATAGATAATGCTTTTTTTTTTTTTTTTTTTTTATCCTTGCAAAAATATTTTATGGTTAATCCAACCTGGTGTCTGTGAGGAAATAATGAAAATGACTCCCGGTTATTAATGACTTAATGCTACTACCATGAAAATGCTTTTTTTTTTTTTTTTTTTTTACCCTGGCAAAAATATTTTATGGTAATCCTAACCTGTGTTCTGTGAGGAAATAATGAAAATGACTCCCGGTTATTAATGACTTAATGCTACTACCATAAAATGGTATTCTTGTTGAGCGTGTATAGCAGGGAAGTTAATAGTAGAGTCTGGAACCTGAGTGCTTGGTTAACCCCGGTTCTACCCCAGTTCCATGTGTGCCCTTGGTTTAGCTTCTCCGCCTTCCGTATTTGCAAGCTGGGGTTGTTATTATAGTTGTACCCTGTGCTAAGCTCATTTGGTCATTTAACTATATGAGGAATCCTAATGTACTCCCCAAACTATAAACCTTTGGTTTTCTGTTGTACCTGTGAGGATCGGCTTGGGCTCTGCCTACCTTTTGAACAGGACTGGAAATGGGCAGCACTTGTATTGTTTTGTTTTGTTTTTTTAAATAATTATTTTTTAATTACATCAAGTACTAATGAATAAGTGATGTTTACAAATAGTTCATGAGAGAATCATTTGGGATGAACTGTTTTCATTTCTCCCACAAAATAAATAGCTCATGTTCTAAAGACGACACCTTTCCTTGAGGAGGAAAAAAGCTCAACAGAAATAAAGTCATGCCTGTGGCACAATCATAACATGTTTAGTGAGGAAAATACCAAGATTAAGATATACAAAAGTCTATGAGGAGGGTTACATGGCATTAAATGTGTACCTAGAACCTGTGGGCTCAGGGAAAAAGAACAGCTGGTAAGTTTAAGAAACATTTTAACTGGAAAAGATAACACATGAAAGCAACAGTCCATTCCCCTTAAGAAAAACAACAGATACCACAAACTTTCATTTTTACGTTTTCAATGTTTTTTTTTCACATGACCATTAGACCAACCTCCCCAACAAAATTCAACCCACCATCATAAAAATTAAGTTGTCAACAGGTCCAGCTGGCTCTATTCCATGTTTACCCTTAGATGCTTTTCCAGCCAATGAGGGTAAAACTCACGGAGCAGGTGGCCAAGAGTAAAAGGAGAATCACTTTCCTTCACACAGAAGGAAGTGCACATCTTGAGCATCTTCCTGCACCTGGCGGGGTGAGGTGTCTCAGTGCTTGCACACACTCTTCAGCCCCATAACTGTGAAGGTAGCAGCCTCATAAACAAGGAACATGAGAGCAGCGGTGAGGACTGTCTGCAGCAGTTTGGCTTCAAGACCTTTGTAGAGTCCCATTATTCCAAAACGCTTTACTCGTTGGTGAAGAAGATAGAGAACATTCCAAAGACTCCCCAGTGTTCTGTTTTCTGGGTTTAGTCTGTGACCTCCAAACCTCAGAATGGACTGTACCGTCTGCATGGGATAGGTGACTGTGGTAGCAATTGCTTTGGATAGTGCCCAAATGATGAACACATCCAAAGAAGAAAGCTTCATTCATTTCTTTAGAAGTTGCCATTTTAAAACCTTCATAGAACATGAACTGGATGACAGGATTGAAGACCAATAGCAAGGAAGGAAATGTGCCATTCCATAAAGCCAAGATTCCTTCATCTCGAATGATCTGGTGAAAAGCATCAATAATACCTTGGTAGTTGGTTGGTACAATGTCTTCATTTCTAAATTTTGCCCCTTGCAACTTCAGTCTGGTGTTTACCACCCAGAGTGGGGTTGTTAGCAAAACATTCACCACACCTGCAACAAATGCAACTACTAAATCTTTTCCAGTAGTAGAACGTTGACCTTTGACCCAGACTGCCTTGAGACTATTAAAAGTGTAGAAATAAACAAAATTGGAGCAGCACAGACTGGAGATAACTGGAAACCACCCTCGATATGGTGCCAAGAGGCCTTCTTCCTTAATGATCTCCAGGAGCACCATGTGTGTAGTTTTGGACTTTCTTTTCTCATCAACTTGAAGTCGGAGTCGAGCTGTATCCAAGGGAAAGAATACGGTCATCGCTGTGACACTTCCCCCTTGGGTCTCGTCCAAGTACCTTCACGTTCCTGGGACCTGACTTGTTGTTCGGGCAGCACTTGTATTGTGGGTGCACATTGTGTTTTCTCAGTGTTCTATCTGTTCGTTTACAGCAGCAGTGATTTTATGCATCATGCCCCCTTTTTTCATGGACTTTTCTCTCTCTGTTTTTGAAGAGGATTTACGATACTAAAGGATTAATTCTGTGAACACAGATTTTCATGAATATGTTTTTTGTGAGCTTAGTCTTAGGCTTAACATTTGTCACAATTATGAGAAAATATCATGAAAATTTTAAAAATTACATCTTTGAGTAACAAAAGGAAATGCCATGTCCAGTCACTAATGGTCACTTTTGTATCTTTTTTTCTGGGATTTGCTGTTTTTGTTTGGCATAAGGGACATCAATTTTGGGATATTGCTATATATAAAACCGTTCCGCCCCTTGCAACTGATAATTACCAGTGATTGTGTTTTTACCTAAAATTGGGCCTGCAAGGATTTTTTTTAGGAGCACATGAACTCCATGAAGCAAGCTTCCAGCCAAGACTTTGTGTGTGCTGCTCCTGCTCCTTGGACCACTCTTCTGGACTTTCAGTGCATTGCTTCTCACTCTTCAGGGCACATCTGAAGCACTGCTTCATCAGAGAAATGCTCTCCCTAAGTTTTATATAAAAGTCTATATATTTCTCTCTTTGTCTTTTTCACAATTTTAAGCTGTGGTATTAGTTTGTTGACTTATTTGTTATTTGCTTCTCCCCATTATACGTAAAGCAGCACCGGATAGAGCGTTTAGGAGTCTCACTGCCACTTTCTAAGATAGTGAAGAGATCGCTAACTGTAGTCCTGAGTAACTCAATGATGGACGTAGGTAGGTAGCATTGCTCCAAGCTGCTTAAGGGTAGGACTGGGACTTGATTTCAGTTGTCAATCTAATTCCAAAGGCCCTATATGGGCCATGAGAAAAGCAATTTCACAAATATTTTCTAATTGATTCTTTATCATAATCTTGTAATAAGTATAATTATCCATACTTTCCAGATGAAGAAACTGGGGCTTTTTGTGACTTTATTAAAGATGCATCACTCAGAAGTGGGAAAATTAATTTATTTGGCTTGAGCTCAGTGTTTATATGTTACGTTGTGCAGTCTTTCTCTATAATCACTTGAACTCAATCTAACTCTGTCCCAATGTGCTTTGATGAAAACATTTCATATAGAAAATAAGACAAGAAAGTATATTTCTATTTCAGTATTGCCCCCTTAACTGAGCCCAGGTGACAGTGTTAAACAGGTAATGGTTTTAAACTTGGAAACTTGTTCCATGCCCATTGCTTTTAGTATCTGAATTTTTCTTTTATCAAATACTTACCGAATACCATCTGTTTGCCTGACTATTGTAGCTAGGCACTGGAAAAAACAATGCCAAGTAAAAATTACACTCCATCCTTAATTTGGTTAATACTTAATAATATTTAAACTACCCTCCTTTAAAAAAAACATGTAATATCAACAAGAATGAGATACCTCTGGGCACTGATGTGGAAATATGGCCATGATATACAGTTGATTGAAACAGTGTATGGCTGTGGGGCACCTGGGTGGGTTAGTCAGTTAAGCATACAGCTTTGGCTCAGGTCATGATCTCACAGTTTGTGGGTTCAAGCCTCACATCGGGCTCTGTGCTGACAGCTCGGAGCCTAGAGCCTGCTTTGGATTCTGTGTCTCCCTTTCTCTCTGCCCCTTCCCCACTCATGCTCTGTTGCACTCTCTCTCTTTCTCTCTCTGTCTCTCTTGCTGTCTCTCAAAAATAAACGTTAAAAAAAAGTATACAACAACTTATGAGATGTAGGCGAGTCTGCTTTTTTTGTTTAAAATTTAAAAATGTGTATAGGTATATCTATGTGACTTATATTAAAAGGGAGAATAATTTCTGAAATGTTAACAGTGGCCATCCCTAGAGGTGGAATTGGGTAGCCAGAAGGTAGTACTTTTATTCTATATGTATTTTTTATGATAGTATGTGAGTTAATTTTTACTTTTTAAAATATTTCTTAGTATTTTCTAATATAGAAACATTTTAAAGGATATATAAAAGAAATTTTATCTAGAGAATGTTTATAATATTTTAAGTAGAAAACAGTATTAAAGTAAGATTTTGATTTTCTGATCTAAATTTTCTCTACAATGTGACTTCTATAACTTGACAGTAAAGTTTTTACTAAAGCATTCTTTCTGCCCTATTTCCAAAAATAAGCATAAGAAAAAACCAAATGCAAACAAAAAATAAAGTGAGGTAAGGATCGTAACTAAGGGTTAGGGGATTGTGGTAGGGGAGAAGGGTAAATACGGAAGCATCTTACCATCCAAGAGTTGTTTAAATTTGCATGCATAGTTATAATGCTGATAGCAATCATAATAATAACAGTGACAGCTCACATTTACTGAGTGCTTATTAAAGCCAAATATTGTACTTTGCATGTATTTAGTTAATCCTTTGAGGTAGGCTCTATTCTTATCCCATATCTTAAAGGTGAGGCTCAGAAAAGCTATATCGTATCTAAGGTTACACAACTGTTCATTGGCAGAGCTGTGGGGCAGCCCAGACAGCCCTTCTTCAGGGGGTGTACCCACACACTTGGTTCTCAGAGTGTCAGTTTGTGAGATTCTAAGTATCAGTCCAACTGTTACTAGGGGCTTCAGGGCTTTTTTCTGCATTAATGGAAAGAGATTATTAATTTCAGTCAGGATTCTGGTGGTACCCAAAGTTTCCTAGTATCCAAATTTATTTTTTCAGCCCCACAGGGATTGGGAAAGAGCCTCTGTGATTTCTGCATTTCACCAGAAATGAACAGATGTAGGTGATAAAATTGTAACTAACATGTTGTTGGTTGCATTCTGTTTTGTTTCTCTAGGCAAGCAGCTTGGCATAGTGGAAAACAGTAGCTTCAGTTAGATTTGAGTTTAAATTCTGGCACCAACATTTTCTAGCTTCTAGCCTTCTTTGCTTCTTTTTGTAAAATAAAGATAATGTTGCCCTTCAGAGTGGTTATGAGAATTACATGAAATAATGTAGGCAAAAGAACTTCAAAGTAGAGTTGTTAGGCACATAGTAAAATGTAAATAAATATTAAGTCACTTCCTCTTCTGGTAGATGTCTCAGAATAAATTGAAGAATCATCTTGGGAAAAAAAAATGTACCTGATTTTCTATTATAAAATGTAGGTACAACTGTGACTGCAAACTGAATATTCAGCAAAGAAATACTAATTAGTTTAAGATGCCTAATCAATTCAGCACATTCTTATGTAACAAGCCAAATGATTTGTGGCAACTAATAAAATTTTTTAATGATGCTTGCCTTCCAAATCATGGAAATGCAAAACATTGTAATCAATTATAAATATACAATTGAAACTCATAATCTGGTATAACAGGAACATTTTATCATAAGTCAGACTGAACTCATACAGCAATATTTTACTAGTTTTTTCATATGAGCTTTTTTTATCAATTTTATTTTATTTTTATTTGAGAGCGAGAGAGAGTGAGAAAGAGAAAGAGCTTACATGAGGGTGGGTCAGAGAGAGAGGGAGAGAAAGAGAATCCCAAACAGACTCTGCACTGTCTGTGCAGAGTCTAATGGAGGGTTTGATCCCACCAACCACGAGATCATGATCTGAGCCGAAATCAAGAGTTGGACACTTAACCAACTGAGCCAGCAGACACCATCCTTCATATGAGCTTTTATAACTTTGATCTTTAAAGGGTGCCTCACAGGCTCAGTCAGTGGAGCATGTGACTCTCAATCTCAGAATCATGAGTTTAAGCCCTATGTTGGGTGTGGAGCTTACTTAAAAAAAAAGATATCACTTTGTATTTTTAGATATTTTTACAGTTTCATCTATTTTGTAATGACTTTTTCTTTATTTTTACTAATAGCCTTTTTTTCCCAATTAAATACTAAATATTACCTATTTCTATTTATGTTTTTGTTTCATGTTTCTTCTTCAGGTCCTCACCAAAAACCCTACATTTTATTCAGCTGCCCATACAGAAAAGTATCTTGGTATATTTATTATTAGAGTGATTGTAGACCTGGCCTGTAGTGCTGAGTAGTATTTGCGGTGGTTTGAAATCATCATGCCCTCTGGAGAATGTGGCAGAAAACAAGTAGACCCTGAGTAGAGAACTGAGGAGCTTTCTGTTTAATTTGGGGTATTTCTTAATATATTTAAAATCACATTTGCCACAATTTAGCAATTGAGCATAATCTGTTATTTATTTATTTAATAGGTTAGCTCAGTTTCAAAATACCTGTTCTGTATCTGACTTCCTTCCATAACAACGTAGGACAAAAGATCTTGGGCTTAAGGGAATTCAAGAATGATGAAACATTTAAGGATCTTCCTTTCTTGGCTTACTGTTTTTTGATTTTTGAAAAAAATGAATGTATGTAAAAACTATGTTCTTTCAAAAGCACAACTGTATATTCTGTCTTACTTAAATAGTTTATTTCTGGGGTGCCTGGGTGGCTCAGTCGGTTGAGCATCCAACTTCAGCTAAGGTCATGATCTCATGGTTCATGGGTTCAAGCCCCACATTGGGCTCTGTGCTGACAGCTCAGAGCCGGAGCCTGTTTTGGATTATGTGTCTCCCTCTCTCTCTGACCCTCCTCTACTCACGCTGTCTCTCTCTCTCTCAAAAATAAATATAACATTTAAAAAATAAATAAATTGTTTATTTCTAAGGGGAATTTTTATTTTATTTTAATGTTTAAACATTTATTTACTTAGAGAGAGAGAGAGTGCATGCACACACTCACGTGGGGATGAGAGTAAGGAGGGGCACAGAGAGAGAGTCCCAACCAGGGGTCCTCCTGTCAGTGTGGAGGCTGATGCGGGGCTCAATCTCATGAACCATGAGATCGTGACCTGAGCCAAAATCAAGGGTCAGATGTTTAAGTGACTGAGCCACCGAGCACCCAGGCACCCCACTATTAAAAAAATAATTTTCAATAGATTCTTCCCTCACAGTATTATCTCAACATAATAATAGAAATGAAGTATATTTATATGAAATATATTATAATATGTATGTAATAAACATATATAATAAATTACTCATTTTATTTTTTACTCTAGTGTACATCATCAGTTAAATAAATATGGAAATCCTTTTTTTTTCTTTTAGAGGAATTGAAATCAAATTCTCCCATATTGTGTGTACATGGTTACCCAGATCCCTGTCTCTAGTACAGACCACTTAGTTACTCTCGTGATGACCCAAGTTATGTGTACTTCCTGACCACCATAGATGTTGGTGGTCCTAACTGGAATAATCTAAGAAAAATCTATTAGTAATAATAGTACATCCAAAATGCTTCTTAAATATGTATTTAAACCTAATTAACAGCAAATAAAATACCTTTTATTTGACTTATTTTGGAAGCTGAAAATTGTCTTCAACTCACTGTGTAAGGGACCTCTCTCTATTAAATAAGTCTCATAACACTGTATCTTAAGATAAGTGTGGGGGCTACTGATAATGTGTGTGAAATGCTAGTGTGTCATGCTTAGTACATAGCAGGTAGTCAGCAAGAGGCAACTGCTGTTTTTATTGTCTAATGATGACTGGAACATGCTTCCTGCTGAAACTGCTCATTTGTGTCCTGCTTCTGTTCACTGTTCTTGCTTTCCTAAGTCTTCATTCCTGGGTAATAATGCCAGCAGAAACCGAAGTTGACCATTTTTCTCCTCTCTAAAGAAGCACTTAATATCGACTACCATTGTTAAAAATAAGATAGTTGTATTATATTTATAAAGCAAACTTTGGGAAAAGGTGATTTTTTTAATGTTTATTTATTTATCTTAGAGAGCGAGTACAAGCTGGGGAGGGGCAGAGAAGGTGGGAGGGAGACAGAGAATCCGAAGCAGACTCCGTGCTATCATCAGCACCAAGCTCGATGCGGGGCTCAAACCCACGAACTGTGAGATCATGACCTGAGCCGAAGTCAGGTGCTCAACTGACTGAGCCACCCAGGCGCCCCGGGAAAAAGTGATTTTTAAAAAATGTCTCTGTAAATAGTCTTGGCTATTATTTGAGATCTTGCATATTTGAAAACATGTAATCTTTGTCAGAATTAATGAGTGATTTGGCTGGATATAGAATTGTACTTAGGAAATAATTTTCCTTTAATTTAAAGCCTATTAGATTGGTTTTAGCTTTCAGTGGTTCTGTTGAGAAGTTTCTTGCCAGTTTGAGTCTTGATTTTTACTGTGACTTGTTTTGTCACTCAGGAACTTTTAAAGGTCTTCTCTTTATCCCTGTTGTTTGAGATGTTCTACCTGGTACCTTTTGCCTCCAGTGGGTGTTTGAAAATGTGTGGGGACAGTTTTGTTTGTCACAGTAACTAGGGAGGATGCTTTGATTCTTTGGCATTTAGACCTGGAGATCAGAAAGGTTAATTTTCTTACGTTGCAAGAAACAGTCTCACCCAAAATGTCAGTAGTGCCACTGTTGAGAAATATTGTAACCCTTGTGTATGATAAGAGGAACAAGACGTGTACACCAAAGACCAGTCAATATGTTTGGTAATAAGGTTATAGACATGCTCTGTTAAACAGTGAAGGAAGAAAGTGTAAATGGCATGTCACAAATTGAAATAGAATAAAAATACAGCTGTTAAATTATCTATGAGTATGTATTTACCATGTTACTGCCTTGGGCTTCTGGTTTGACATGCTCTGTGCTATTGTGTTTAATCATATTTTTGACGCTTTTTTCCATATTTCTAAGTGGTACCTGCTCATAATTACTAAGTAATTTTTTAATAAAAAAAATATTCTTTTCTGTAATAGGGTATCTGTTTGTAATCTAAACACTTACGGATGCAGAAAGGTTTGAGGAGTAACATTTTTTGCAAGGGCTAGAACTTGACTGCCAATGATAACTGTACATATTTGAAGTGGGATTCAGGAAGGGGTTGAGCAAAGGTTGTACTTGTGCAATTTTATAGTAGCTTCTGGGTTAGCAGTTTGCAATTCTGTTTCATTAATGCTTTGGGAAGTAAATTAACCAGAACAGCACATATAGATAACTATGTTATAAGAGTGCAGATATTCAAGAACAAAGACAAATTACCTTTCAAATTATTCACCATTTTCTCATGGTTCATATCATTACTTTACTTCACTAATGTGGCTGACCAGGAAAACTACATTAGACATACAGAACTCTAAGGAAGCAGAGAGGGATTAAGATAATGAGGTGGGAAGGTAGAGGAAAATGTTAAAATAGTAGTTTGATAATTTGTATTAATATAATAATTTTTAGGTATTTTTAAATAATTCAGTATTTTTTATTTTGTATAATTTTTAAAATTTACATCCAATTAAATAATTCAGTATTAATGCAGAGTCTTCATTTTAATATGCATGTAATAACTTCTCCTTTTCAGAACCTAAGCCACAACCACAGCAGCTTCATCAGGGACAACACCGATTGTCAAATACTGAGCAAAATGGAGTCAAAGATAATAACCAACCACGGTATCTGCCTCGAAATGATACCAGACAGCCAAGAAATGAAAAGCCTCCTCGTTTTCAAAGAGACCCCCAGAATTCAAAGTCAGTTTTAGAAGGCAGTGGATTACCTAGAAACAGAGGTTCTGAAAGACCAAGTACTTCTTCAGGATCTGAAACATGGGCTGAAGAGAGAATCAAGTGTGAGAGACCCTATTCTAGATATGACAGAACTAAAGATACTTCATACCTTTTAAGCTCTCAGCACAATGATGGTGCTTTTAAGAAAAGGGATAACTCTATGCAAAGCAGATCAGGAAAAGGTCCGTCCTATGCAGAGGCAAAAGAAAATCCACTTTCTCAAGAATCCATTGACTATAATATTCAAAAACGTGGGAAAAGAGAACACCAAACAGCAAATCCTGATCATTTTTATGACAGGAAACCACGAACAATAAATAATGAAACTTACAGTGGTGTAAAAATTGAAAAACATTTTAATGTAAATACCGACTTCCAGAATACTGTCCGAACTAATAGTTTTATTGGTGTTCCAAATGGAGAGACAGAAATGCCACTGAAGGGCAGGCGAGTAGGACCTATTAAGCCAGCAGGACCCATCACAGCTACACCCTACGATGATAAAGTATTTTACAATAGTGGGCCCAAAAGGAGATCTGGGCCAATTAAACCAGAAAAAGTACTAGAAGCATCTATTCCTATGGAGTATGCAAAATTGTGGAAACCTGGAGATGAATGTTTTGCACTTTACTGGGAAGACAACAAGGTATGCATGCGGTAAAGTTATCATATTCTGATATTATTAAATGTCACTGTATAGTGAGACTGTAGAAGGCCATTGCTTTGGGACTATGAGTTTTGTTCTATGGCTGTACCTGCTTAAAGTCTTTGAACAGATTTATAGATATGTAATTTATAAAAGAGGAAAAATAAAATATTCAATATGTATGCTTAGGAAGAATCAGTCTCATAAGATTTGGTTAGGTAAGGTTTGATTTTAGATTGCCCATCGGAATAGTACTTAAAAGTGATTGAGTGGAGTTGATCAGTTATTTCACTTATCATCAACTGGACTGTCTAGTAAAGTTATACTGATTCACAAGGAAAAAAATGAGTTGAGTGGCACAGAGTTAAATTCTGCATGTTTTATTTAAACTGAAGAAAATATACAATCAGCCTACTTAAAAAATAAGAACAGAAAGGTTATTTAGCTAACAATAAATGATCATTATTAAGCCAATAATTTAAACACTCTTTAGTGTTTTTATCAGTGAATATCAGTATTTATCAGTGAATTTCAGTATTTATCAGTGAATCAGATAAAAGAGCCTGGCTGAGAGGGAGAAGACCAACAGAGAACAGGAAAGGAAAGGGGTAAAAGGGACCCTCAGAGAGAAGGACCTTTGCACATATTTTCCCTTTTGCCCAACATGCTTTTCTACTAACTGTTCTCATCGTTGAAAGTTTGGCTCCAACATCACTTCCTGGAAAAGCCTTCTCTGACCTGCCCCTCTTCCCTCCTACACTATTGTCTTTCTCGGTCAGTGCCTTATTCACTTTCTAAAACTTACTACAATTTGTATTTTTGGTTTTGGTTCTTGGATTGATGACTCCTTCCTCTACCATCATTTTGAGTTTCTTGAAGGCAGGGCTATCTCTGTCTGGTTTTCTTCTGCAGCCCTGCTTTTCCCATAATATAGGGATTTCATAATTATTTGTTGACTCTGTTAATGAGTTAATTCTGAAGGGCTTACTTATTTAGGAAAAAAGTAGAGTGGTAGGGGACTGGAGATAGCAGCAAGATGATGATAAAAGGAGCTATAGTATGAGAGATCCGGATGGATGTGAGGATCAGGTCCAGGAAAAAAAATATTTGAAATATTTCATAAGTAGAATAATTTCAGTTCATAAAGTAAGGCTGTGCCCGTGAGAGTGTGTGTTTGGCTAAATGGAGCAGTAGAGGCAAAGTTTACTATAGTTTTCAAGGAACTGAAATTCAGGTTAGGGAATGTGATTGGATCTTTTAAAAGGATCAGGAACTAGGCCCTACTGTGTTCAGTGAATAATGAGGCATAAGCAAGATGTTAGATGTTGCTAATGAGAGCAGCAAGGAGAGGAGTATAGGGTGGAATAGGTAGATGATGGCACAGTCTTGTTAAGGTTTTTGTATAAGTGTGAGATAGTATCTGCCTACAAGCAGCATCTCTACTGTCAAGTGTTCATTCAAGGTTAGAAGGAGGGGGAGACAGCTGTGATTTTGTTTTTGTTTTTTGTTTTTTTGTTTTTAGTTCCAAAAAAGCAAAAGCCTTTCCAGAAATATCAACCATCTCATTGGTTGGAACTATTTCACATGGCTACTCTCTGGCTGTTAGGAAGGCTTAGGAAACACGTGCAAGTGTTCTTCATACTCAGACTTGAATCTTAACAACTCAGACCACTCACTTTCCAGCATACAGGAACTATTTGATTTGGGTAATGGGGGATTCCTTATGTTTAGCTGTTTCTCCCTCATAGTAAAGGCAAGAAAAGGTGAAGTAGTTGGAAATCAGTGTAGGTTTATAGAGCTAACAATGTCTGTCTGAGAATGAGTGGTCACCTGTGTCGGCTGCTTCTGTGAAAGTTCAATTAAGATGATAATGGAAAAGTGCTTTGTTGTTGTTGTCAGACAGTCTAACATTGTTGGTAATGTTGATGAGCAGAGAACGTACATGATTGGAGTTCAAAGTTCAATAATTTTTGAAAGCCTTAGTATATGACTCATGATTTCCATTGAAATCCCACAAGGATCATGCCCTGGAAGTAAGTGCAAAACTAATACAAATAAGCCATTATACAGCCTAAAACCAACCATTTATACACTCAAAGATACCTGTTTATACTCTGTATACCTGTCAGAGGAAAATATAATCCCCTTTTTGGGGAAAAATAACATTTTCTAAAACCTCCTCAGTATTTCATCTGCAATGTTTGGTATCCTATAAAAAATTAGAGGGCATAGTTAAAAATGGAGAGAGAGAGAGAGAGAGAAATGAATGAGTAGGAACAAATAAAGCAACAGAGAATATTAACAAAGCTACATATATTCAGTTATTAGGCTTAACAGACAAGTTCTTCAACAAATATTGACTAAACCATAATTGAGTAGCTGCTAAGAGTCAGGTGTCTGGGGTATATCAGATAGTTCTGGCTATGCTTTTATCCTAATTTCTTCAAACACCTGATGAAATTATTAATAAAGCTTTACTTTTACCTGTAATTGTCTCAAAAAAAAGCAATAACACTGAGTTAATCTGTTGCCTTTCCTGAATATATTTAATGTAATGTCAGATAGTTTGTGAAAGACAGTACCTAACAATTCTCAAAGTTTTGAGCTTTTATTCCTAGAACAATTGGATGATCTTCTAAGGTGACTATTTTGATTTTAATTGGATATGTACTTTCAGTTTAGAGTGAGGGACTGTAGGCTCTCTCTATATTACACCATTAAACAAATAAACAGTATTTGCCCTCTGAAAGAGATGGGATTAGTTATCTTCTGAAAACACCTAATTTAAGAGATGACTTTTAAATGTTTTATCAAGAGTAAGCAACTTTCCAATTTTCTGGACCAACCAAGATGAAGATTTAAGGAAAACATGAGTTGTAACTGTCATTAGGAAACTATAGCCTTAATTGCATTATAGTGCTGTAATGCAGATAATTAACCAAGTGATATAATCTATCATTTAAAAAATTCTTTACACTACCTTGCCATTTCTCAACCTTTATTTCCATAGAAGGATTTGGGAATTTGGAACAATTCTCCTTCTCCTTCTAGACTGCCATAATTAGTTCCGCTTTTTCTGCTGTCTCTACTGGAATACCGTAACAACCTCCAAAATGGTTTCCCTGCCTTAAACCTTATTCCTCTCAAATATGTCATTGAAACTACCATCACTGATCCTGGTCTTAGACCATGTCATTCTTCCTAGTTAAAATCTTTTACCTGTGGAATACATAGAGCCATAGAGCCTCTCTCAGCTGGTCCTTACCTTCTTGCCCCATCTAATTTCCTATTGGTCGACCCTCCTCACATCATGCCATAATTAATTTTAAACTGTTTGTAGCTTCCTGCACTCATCTCCATACTTTAGGTCTCTATAACTTCCCGTGGTGCACCCTTCTCAGTTTTTTACTTGGCTAAACCTTCTTCATCACTGAAGACTGTATCCATTGTTATCTGCCACAGAAAGTTCTTCCCAAACTCCTTAGCCTTATTAAGTGCCATATCATTGCACCATTATTAGAGTACTCTCCACGTTACATAGAAGTCATTTTTCATGCAGTTGTTTTATTAGACTCGTAAGGTTCTAAAAAGATGTCACCTTATTGTGACTCATTTGTTGACCTTAACAGAACTGACTTAATTGTCTGAGAAGCTTACAAACTCACAGCAATTCATAGATCACAGAAGTATGACGCTAAGAAATAAAGGAGGAAAGGACAGACGTGAATGTATATCAGGAACTCTAATATAAGAAAAAGAATTCCAGCATGGTGTTTCTAAACTTGTTAGCATCTAGACCTGGGAAGGATACACCATGGATTAACTTAATAACCTTTGTGATGTAAAGTATAC